GGTTGTCTGAAATGTGTTCCTCTTGAACAAAAGGTGTTCGTGTTTAGGCAGATACCGCACATTACAACGGCAAGTAAGCTTTCTTGGGCCTTCTTCGGCCATCTTCACCGTCAGAACTCGCGAAAACAGCGGAGAAGGTGGTTTTATGGAGCTGAGAAAACAGATATTGTATTGCGCTACATGTATGGCCGCTACCGTGTTTTGTCTGGAATATTGAATGGGGGTATGATTTTACTCTTTCATAGCCTGGAAACTAGTGCAGATTCGGACACTATGGTGGGTATTTCAACTTTCACATATCGCAAGAAGTTTAAATATCTATTCTGATTTTTTTTAAAGAGAAATATTTGCTTCGGAATCAACCCACCAAACATATCTCACTGATTTGAAGATTGGTTGTTAAACTGAAGGAAATACATTTGAGAAATTACTTGCATTAATTCGTCAATGTAAATTTTATTATCCGAATGTGTTAGTGCATAAGGACAGTAATGTTAAATAACGCTGTACCAAGAAAGTAAACACATTTAATCGCCTGTTATGGAGAAAAAAACTGTGTTTATATTGTTGAAATAAGTTATGCTTAATATGTATGCAATGGTTTAAACCTTAGATCCATGCACGTAGAGGTTTTAAGAATGCTATTTGTTAGTTTAATAAATAAACGTCATTGATCACCAGGATAATGTTTAGTGTTCTAGTTATAAACGTGAACTATGTTATAAAAAAAGGAAGAAATGGTATATTCTGATGAAGAACTGTCATTACTTTAGCAGCTCATAGATGGCGATAATGTCACTAGGATTATTTACGTAATGCACGGTTGTTAAATTAACAAACGCGAGTGGAACTCATTACTCCTAAAGGCTAGTTAGATGTAAAATTTAAAATTTTATAACAAAAAAGAAATGCATTTATGTCATAGAGCCATTCGTTGGGCGGAAATATGATATCTAAATATATATGAATCAGAAAAAGCTTAAAACACGTCCTGCTGTTAAAGGCTGTAATTCAATTTTGTTCTTACTTTAATTCAAAAATGACAATAATATATTGTTTCATCAATCAAAAATAGTGTTCTGCGTGCTCCCAGTGGCACAGCGGTATGTCTGTGGACTTACAAAGCTAGAAACTGGGTTTCGATACCCGTGGTAGGCAGTGCACAGATAGCCCATTGTGTAGATTTGTGCTTAACTTCAAATAAGTGTTCTTTGAATAGTGGAATCCATTAATAAAGTTAAAGAAAGAAAGAAACTGGTTAAAAATGCTCTCTACACTCTTTTTAAATATAATTATTTTGTAACGTTTCGGCCTTAGGCCCACTTCAGACAACGAACAAAGTACAACTGACTATGTTTCTTGTTGTCAGTTGTATTTTGTTCTTTGCCTGAAGAAGGCCTAAGGCCGAAACGTTGCAAAATAAATCCATTTAGTAAGAGTGTAGAAAGCATTTTTATCTAATTTTGTTGTTTTTCGTTGTTTGATTTTATTAATAATATATTGTTTTACTCTGAGAACCTATGAATCAATAATTTTGTTCGCATGATTATTCTTTATAATGTTAAAATAATAGTGCTGATTTCCTACTCAATAAATCTTGAGTGGGCTACACAGACCAGCTTAACAATGTTATATTAATCCAGAAAATAATGATAATAATTACCTTTAACTAATTATTTATTATTTATTCCGACATCAGAAATAAGTGATTTTTAAGTTTCCCGGTGGTCAGCGGTAAGTTTACTGGCTTACAACGCTAAAATCAAGGGTTCGATCTCCCGCGGAGAACAGAGCGCAGATAGCCCATGTGGCTTTGCGTCATATAAAAAGAAAAAGGTGATTTTTTGGACTGGATGTCGGCTGTCATATGACCCTTATTGTAATGTTTTTTGCATGGTAGAGTTTGATACAGTAACCCTAACCAATTAAATGTGACACAGTTTGATGTCTATTGTACTTTATCTGTAAATGTCTAATTGTCTTTACTCTTCCTATGTCACCAAATGTTGGCAGCCACAATTTTCTTAATGACAAACATCGTACTTTCAATTGCTACTAATAAAGATGCTCTTCGTTGACATACATCGACTATCATTGCCCTTTGAAAATCCGAGATATCTTTAATCTTGCTGCATACTAACTATGGTGCAACTACATCTTTGTATTTATATAATTTTGTTTCTCTGTTTAAACGCAAAATTACAAAATGAGCTCTTTGCGCTCTGTCTGCCACAGTGACTTGAACTCCGGATTTTAGCGTTGTAATTCCGTAAACTTGGCGTTGATTCATCCGAGGGGGCTATAGTTTACATGGTACCTTGTTTAATTTCAAGGAATATCTATGCTAGCCGTATATAATTTAGCAGTGATAGACTAGAGGGAAGGTAGCTAGTCAATACCATCCACCGCCCACTCTTGGGTTTCTCTTTACCATAGAATAGTGGGATTGACCATCACAATAGTCACCCCACGTCTGAAAGAGCGAACATGTTTGGTATGATGAGAGTTCGAAGCCGCGACCCGCACATTGCGAGTCGAGCACCCTGACCATCAGGCCATGCAAGGCCCTTGCTGTTTAAATACAAGTTGTGGGTTTTGTGTTAAGCCTACATAGCCACAAGTTATAGGTTATGTACACTTTTTGTGTTGTTCTAAAACGTATTAGCTATAGGATTTACTTTGCTGTTTAATTAAATGCATGTTATAGTTTTGTTGAAGTTCTGTGCTAGCCGTCTATAGTGATAGACTAGAGGGAAGGCAGCTAGTCAACATCATCCACCGCCAACTCTTGTATACTTTTTCCAGCGAATAGTGAGATCGACTGTCATATTATAACACTCCATAATTGAAAGATCGAGTATATTAAGCAATAGGTTTCGATCCCGTGACCCGTTTTAACTACTAGGCAATGTTATTTTTGATTTTATACTTGCTTACAAAAATATGCCATCATACACTTGTTTCTAATTGTTTGTTGATAATATCATCGGTTTAATTCATTTCACTCCAAACTATATTCCATCATTCATGGTATTGTTGTACAGTATAAAAGAATTGCACCTTTTTTACATTCTGGTTGTTGAGGTTTTTGTGTACTTGAAGAAGGATGGGCGAAGGTGTTTTGAACCCCTAACTTTTGCACTGATGGGCAGTCCTTTGTCAGGGGTTAGAAGGAAGGAGGTTTTGCTCGTTGTGCTAAACTGAATACGTTTTCACACGGTATTAATATTACGACGAGCCCTTAGCGATATTATCTCATTAGTTCTTTCTTAACTCGTTGGATTATTAATATTCTTAGTTTGGAAATGATACGAATTAACGCGGAAGTAATACAATGTAGGATATTTCAAAGAGCTAACTTTAAAAATAACTTGTATTTTTAAAGAAAACCAACTGCTAGTTTGTTTCAGTGGAACATTAAGCAGACGATTACATAGTAGATTTAACAACTTTAATGCTGACTGTTGAATGAAAAAGGGGCGATAAATAAAATAGAAGATTACAGTTTAGAAGCCAAAACGTCGTCCCCCTTTTCATTCAATAGACAGTTGCAGTCCATTTATGCTTTCAAATCGTCTTGTAATTTGTTGATTGTGTAGTTGTGGGTCGTATGTTCGAATCTCATCTCCAAACATGCTCGCCATTTCAGTCGTGAGGGCATTATAATGTAACTGTCAATCTCACTTTTCGTCGATAAAGAGTATCCCAAGAGTTGGCGGTGTTGTTGACTAGCTGCCTACCTTCTGGTTTATCACTTCTAAATTAGGGACTGCTAGCGCAGATAGTCTTCGAGTAGCTTTCGGTGAAGTTCAACATAAACAAACGAAGAAGGTTTAGTTTGAAGGCTACTGATTTGGAAATGTTTCCCATTTCTCGAGAATCTGGGGAAATCTTGGTGGATTGATTGGGATTTTTTCGTTTACTCTGTATTTTAATAGCCAATTTAACTAGTGTAATTATTAGTGTTTTGACTGAAAAAAAAAGAATATTCAGAGTGTAAGCCTGAACTAAACTCATTCTAAGGTACAAGACTCTCACTAGAATAGAAGAAAAATGCTTTCAATCATTTATATGCATTCAAATGTAATAATAAAATTATCTAACGAAGGTACGATTATTAAAATCAAAATAAAAATTAAGTTCAGTTCAAAAGAAACGATGAAACAACGTGATATAGGTAGATCTAATTTAACTTAAATGTATTTCAATCAAAACCTATCATTGGTGAAACGAAGTAATTAACACATCAACTAACATAAGATAAACGTAAAACAACTAATGTATTTTAGTTTTGCGTCGCCATCTCAGAAAGGTATTGAAAAATTACAAAGGCAATGTATAACAATAGGTAGGGAAAGGAGAGTTCGCAAGACAACCTAACATCATGTCTGAAATCCTGACTAATCACTTGCAGTTAAAATGTTAAAACATCAAACAATACAGATAAAGAACGATATGTATAAGCTGCTTCTAACGTGATTCTTATTAAAAACGATGAACAATAATTTATTTTAAATTGCTAAACCAAAAAAAAAAAATGGTGAAAAAGGTTTATGAACTTGAAAGTCAATTTAAAAAGTATTTTCCGGAATAAGTTACAATTGCTGTAAAAATAAATTGATTAGATGTAAATACGTTAACACACGAGCGTAATTTGTTTTAACTGGGTTATTTTGTAAATGAATATTGCTGGTTAAAGAAGAAGAATATCTAATTGTTGCTAATCGTACATTGCCTGAAGATGACTCGCTCCTATGGGCTGAAACGTCTCAGGTTCAATTGCTTAAAACATTTCTACTGTAAAGCTGATCGTGATATTAAATAAAACCAAAGTATTGTTTTCTCGTACAATTTGTGGAATAAAAAACATAAATAAAATAATAACATGTAGCAATAGATTATTAAGTTCTATTTGTAACCATTAGATAACGCCACCTGCTCGCTCTAATTCCAAATCTGTTGGCAGGAACTTATGACGTGACCTGTAGGCTTACCTTAGCCATCCTGGCTCTAGCATCAATGTAGTCTCTTGTAAATGCTAAGAAAAACAACAATAATTAATTAGTCACAAAACAACAACGTTCTTTAAATTATTGCAGTGAACTCGCTATATGATTTTCGTTATTTTCCCGTCATTAAATTTAATGAAGGAAAAGTTATTCGGTAAATTTAATATGCAGAACTATACTCTTTTACAGTAAGCCTAACGACAAGCGAGAAAAGCAAGACGTTGGAACGAGTTACTCTCTCTCTCTCTTTGTCGTCTGCTACATCGTGAGGTTTTGCGATATTTGTTTGTGTAAGTAACAGAAAAGCTTAGTAGAAACCAAACAAGCTCGAGATGGCTTTCAGATGGGACCATAGACCTAGCTCTCATAATACTCATGCCAACTGTTGGAAAGAAAAACGGCCCGAACCTAGTAGTATGTCACCAGATATTTTATACAAAATGTCGAAAAAAATAGCACAGCTAACAAAGGTAGGATAAACGTCTTTTGTTTTAAACTTATATTAAAATAAAATCTAAAGTCATTTATAGGTTACAAGTAGGCTATAAGTATCAACTACAATAGTAATAGTATTACTAGCATTTATACTTAGGCCTGTTTCAGAAGAAATTTTGAGTCTAACAATTAGTAGGACATGTTATCTTTAAGAAAATAAATGCTTATAAGTTAGTTGGAGCTTATTATAAAATAGACATCTATGATACATTTATAGTATGATGAGTACTTACTTTTTTTACTATTACAAATTGCTAACCGAAATATTAATTTTCACATTCGTGAGGCTCGAAAGATCCGTTTTCTTGCAAAGTGCCATAGGTTTAGAACACTATGAACAGGCGTTTTAACCCAAAATATATTTTTGTTTTTAAAAAAATCAGTAAATTCTCATGTAATGAAAAGTGGCTATTCAAGCAACACTGTTAAATGTGATATTCAACAACAGAGTATTCATCAAGGCTGTTCAAATCTTAATACTAATAGATTTACAAATCGTATACTTTTTATGTGTTAAGCCTACATTCTAGCTCTGGTATTGTCCGTATATCATTTTATTTTAAACTCTTCATTGATAACACTCAATATAAAAAAATGCGTAATATATTACAATAGACTCAGCCGTAGTAGCTTTAACTTCAAACACAAAGTAATGTTGTTTGCCCTAAAATACCAAAAAGGATAGTTACTATTTACTAGTTCGCAATCTATCTATCTGTTGTATAAAACAAACAAGTCTGAAATGTTAAGTCGGCCGCCAAACGTAAACGCCAGCCCAAAGGATTAAATACAGGATAAAAGTGGGGTATATTTTAATATTAAGTGAATTTTATTCCTAGAAATTAATTGCATAGAATTAACTACTTTAGTGTGATAATAATCACGTCAGAAAGAAAACGTTCAACTGTGCCTATGTTAATAACTTCTTCACGCAAAAAGTTTCTAGATATATCGATGTTTTTGTAAAACAAAGCGACATTGGACTATATGCTGTGTCCATAGCGGGGAATAAAATTCTGGACTGTAGCGTTGTAAGTCTGTAGGCATACCGCTGTCCCGCCGTAATACAACCGAATAAACATAAATTAATAATATAGTTAATATGTCAAAATTTTGAGAAAACAATGTAGCTCAGTATACGTTTTTGTTTACAAAGAAATATACTTGTTGTACAGTTCTGACAGGCTCGGCTTCAGAGACACCTAGAGGGGCTTGTTATGGTCCAAGATCAAATATACAACTTCTATATATATATATAATATAAACGTGATACTTTACTTACGAAAGACATAAGGGGGATAACTGTGGATACATGCCATAAATCTAGAAATTACACTGACTGGATGAAAGATTTACAGAAGTATAGGAAAGCTAGAGATATCGTTTGAAAAGAAATCAAGAAATAACAAATATGAGAAACAGTTGGCTAATAATATTAAATTAACAGCAAGGATATTTTTCAAATACGTTAGAAGTAAAAAAAAATATATTCAAATTGGAACTGGACCCTTGAAATTACGAAAACTGTGAGACTGCTAAACTTTTAAATGTTTTATTTTTACAGTAGAAAATATTATAGATATTCCTGACCCTGGGCATTCTATTAGAAATATTGGAATTGACCTGAATCACATTTATAGTAATCCATTTGTGGTAATTAGAAGGATTGAAAGAGTAAAAGTAGATAAAGCACCAGGATCAAACAAGACTTTCCCAGGGTTTTAAAGGAGGTCATGGTGCAGACATGTCAGCCTCTCTCCTTTATTTTTGGTAGGTAAATAGGAAGTGGACAAGTTTATAATGCTACCCTGCTTTTAAATGGGGTGATAAGAGTTGCCCTGGAAATTATAGGCTATTTAGTCTTTCTTTTATAGTGAGAAAATTCCAGAGAATCTGATAAAAGAACAAAATCATGTTTTGAAATGTGATATGAAAAGAAAAAAAACAACAACATTGATTCACTAGATATAAATATTTCCTTACAAATATGTTAATTATTTCGAGGATATTACACATTATATAGATAATAGAAAGGGGTGTGTGAATTTGGGATAATTAAATTAAAAAAGAAAAATACTGCACAGAAGATACGCTAAGAAAGTCGTGTTGGTGTTGCAGAACGACTAGTTAATTGGATTGTAGGGTGGTTGAATGAGAGAAAGCAAAAGGTTATTATTAATGGAGTCCAATCAAACGGGGCTCGTATTACTAGTGGAATGCCACAATGCTTGGGTCTTTGTTTTTTGTTACGTACGTTGATGATACTGATAGGGGAATAATTAGTTAATTAGTAAAATTTGCTGATGGGATTAAACTCTTGAGTATTTTAGATACTACAGAAAGACTTGGCTAAAGTGCTAAGCTGAAAAAGTATTTGAAAAATGACCTTTAATTATAGTAGATGCAAGTTAATGCAGGTGGATTATCGTAATTTGGATTACACGTTTTATATATATAGATTAGGACGCACTCAGTGAAGTGATTAAAGAAAAGCATCATGGCGTAATGATGAATAAGCTGCTGGAGTCGTCGAGGCACTGTTCTGTTGCTAGTAATAAAGTTCATGTTAATTCTAGAGTCCATTTATTCACATCACATATTGGTTAGAAATAAAAATAGGTAATTATTTCTATAAAAAATCACTAGTTTGGCTTCACTTAGATTACTGTGTACAGGTTTGGTCTTCTTATCTAAGCATAAACATCGACCTATTTGAAATGATTCAGAGAAGAGCTACTAGGAAGATTCGGTGGATGAAAGGGTCAACTTTTAGGGATTTTATTTTGAGAAAAAGGGATGAACGGTGATATTTTTAACATTTATAAGATTATCTGGCTGATTGTTAGGATAAAATTTTGATTTGTTTGTGCTGTATTGTGAAAGTAATAAGACAAGATGGGTAGGCACAGTTTAAGACATTTTTTTTATAACAGCTTGATACGTTTATCGAATGAGTACCCGTCGGCAGTAGTGGAAAATGCCACTTTACAAGAGTTTTAAGAAAGGAATCGATTATTTGCAGGGGAACAAAATTGGGTTTAGGTTTTTAAGGGCTTGTGTGTGAGGACAGCCTTGAAGGATTAAATGGTCCCTTGTTGACCATGTATTATTTTATATATACTCTAACATAATTTCCATGTACCGAACATTTGAAGGTTTTTCTCTGTAGAAAGGGGCACTATAAAATTTTTAGTTTTACTCATGGACTATGATGTTATCGGCAATACGTGTGAGGAAAACCTTATACATGGTTAACTGTAAATGCAGACATACTTGTTTTAACAGAAACATAAAGTTGACCAAGGTTTTAGCAAAAGCATTGGAAAACACTTCAATTTGTATTGCCATGGCTGAGAAAGGAACACAATTCGGATTACCAGATTACGGCCCCCTAGTTTCGTTTACCTTCCGTGAGTTCCAGTGACAGATTTAAAGCCTTGTAACCTAATTTAATGATATTCTTTAAATTAGTTCATTATTTTTTTACTAAAGTTCCAACAGTCCCCGTTCTTCATTAGATGATGATAGAATTAATGTACGATTTCCCTGTGATTATATAATAATGCAACATAGTTGATCCCTGGTGGTTAATGCGCTTGACTCACAATCTGTGGGTTGCAGGATCGACTGGCTAGTTTAGTCCACGTGTGGATAATTCTTGAGCTGGTTTCAGGCAAAAAAGGTAATCTGCAGTGTAATGTGCT